GTGGGAGGGGGGACGTGGGTGTGTGTGGGTGGGTCAGGGAGGGGGAGGGCGGACGACGAAGCGCCCCGTTGGCTCTGCTCTCGAAACGGGGCTAGCACTGCGTACGGCACACACTGAGGCTTCATCGCTCAACCAGCAAGGTCTCTGTGACAAACTACGCAAATGGAAAGGTTCTCTTGTTGCACGCACCCGCCCTTTGCACCTCCCACCCACCCTCTCCCGGCCTAGGCCAACCCATGCGCCCCAACCCCACGCCTCACCACCGACCCGACCCACCCCGTGGTTATTTTTCCCCCGGATGGCAGCTGTCCTTCTCGGCGGGCCAGGCCATCCTGTCGGAGCGCGAGCGCGGGGAGGTCTTCTTTATCGTGAAAGAGGGCGCCGTCGCCCCCAGGGCGCCCAGCGCGCCCGCCGGCGCGCCGCCGCCCGCCGGCGCGCCGCGCCTCGGCCCAGGCGAGTTCTTTGGTGAGCGCGCGTTGCTGTCCCCAAGCAGCGGCGCGTTCAGCGGCGGGTCGTGGTCTGGATCTGGATCTGGATCTGGGTCGTCGTCCGGCGCTAGGGGCGGCGGCGAGGGCTGGGACTACTATGCAGACTCCCAGAGGGTGGTGGTGCTGGCGATGCGGCGCGCCGAGTTTGAGCGGCTGCTGGGGCCGTACGAGGAGCTCTGGAGGTGGGCGGGGGCGCGCCGCTGCCTTTGGCGGCCGGGTGTGTGTCCGCGTTCCCTGGTTGTGTGCGCCTGTAATCCTGTGGCTTCTACTATCGCTTTCAAGTTCAGCCTGGTCTTGCCAGCTTGCATCTTTGAAGGGCACGCCTTGCTTGCATAGCATATCGTCCCAAAAGCCACACCCCACACACCACTATTCAACCCCTCCCGTCCCCCCACCTGCTTTGTCTCCCACCCTAGGTACGAGGTCCTGCGCCGCGTGCCAATCCTGTTTGCGCTGTCAGACCGCCAGCTCTGGCAGCTCGCGCGCCTGCTGCTGCCGGGCGCGTACCGCAAGGGCGAGGCCGTGTTCCGCACCGGCGACGAGGCCGACACCTTCTACATAGTGCAGTCGGGGGCGTTCACCTGCTTCACCAGTGAGGGCGCGCATGCGCACGTTTGTGTGTGTGTGTGTGTGTGTGTGTGTGTGTGTGTGTGTGCGCGCGCGCGTATGCGTGCGTGTGTGCGTGTGCGTGCGTTCGCGCACGGCGAGCTGGCAGTGCTGCTGTCCGCATGTCGCAGGCGAGGTGGGCGGCCTGTTCACGAGTGCCGAGCCCCTGCTGATTGGCTGTGCGGGTCCACCAGATTGAAGCGACCCTGGCAACGGAAGAAGCGTCCTGCGCGGATCCTGATCGGCACCCGCGCCGTGATGGTTTTGATCAACTCTTCGCCTTCCAGGGTTTAGCTTGACGCGCTCGTCGCCCCAAACACTGCCCCCTCGTCCCCCAACAGACGAGGGCAAGGAGCTCGCGCGTGTGGGCCCCGGGCAGTGCTTCGGGGAGCTGGCGCTGCTGCACTCTGAGGGGCGCGCCGCCAACGTCATGGCGCTCGAAGACTCCAAGGTTCGTGGTCCGCCGGGCGGCTGGCCGGGTTGTGGCAAACGGGCGCGCCTCAGGGCACGCTTGGGGCGTGCAGCAGCACCTCTTACGGACATCTTCCCCGTTTGATCGTTGGTGTCTCTGCCCAGCCGCACCCATCTGACGATGAACTGTGTCCTGTCCTGGTTGATCGGCGGCCGCACGCGGGATGCTTGTATTCGAGGACCTCATACTCTACAGCAGGGTGTGTGGCCCTTGCGATTCCATGCATATGCAACGTCCGGCGTTCACGAGCGCCCTCGCACCGCCGCCGCCAACACCCTCAGGTGCTGACGCTGCGCAGGGAGGCCTTCCACCAGCTGCTGGGCCGCCTAGACACCCTCCGCCACATGTGGCGCTTCGAGGCGCTGCGGCGCGTGCCGCTGCTCAGGGGGCTGCCCGACAAGAAGCGCGCCGAGCTGGCGGCGGCGCTGTCGCAGCTGGCCGTGCCCAAGGGCAGCGCGGCGGTCACGCAGGTGGGGGCGAGGTCTGCTTCATGTGCATGCTAGGTTGAGGGGTTGCACCACAATTCGATCCTGCATTACGCTGGCATCCTCACGTTGTTTGCGTCACCCATACGCACAGCAACACACGTACCCCCACCGCTCTACCTCAGCCCGCTTCTACCCCAAACCCACCCCATCCCCAACTCCAAACCCACCCTTAAATCCACCCCCATCCCATCCGTCCCTGTCAGGGCGAGGAGGGCAACGCCTTCTACATAGTGGAGAGCGGCCAGCTGGCGGCCTTCAAGGACGGCGGCCCCGCGCCCGTCATGGCGTACGGTCCTGGCGACTACTTTGGGGAGCTCGCACTCATCAGGACGGACAGTCGCCGCGCGGCCACAGTGCGTGTGTATGTGGTGTGTG